CTCCCCTCCCTCCTTTCCCACCCTTCTTTTCCCTTCCCTTCCTTCCTACTTCCCTCCTCCACTCTCCCCTCCTCCCTCCCTTCCTTCCCTTCCACTCTCTCCACCCTCCTAATCCCTCTAACCCACCCTCCCCTCCTCCCCCTCCTCCCTTCCCTCCCCTTCCCTTCCCCCCCTCTCCCTTCCCTCCCCTCCCTTCCCTCCTACCCTTCCCTCTCTTCCCCGCCGCCCGTCACCAGCAGGCTTATCCGTAATTGGCGCGCCGCGAAACACCCGTTAAGGTGCGCAAGTATCGTGCTTGCGTGGTGGGCGTTCTCTGTCGGCTCTTTGGCGCTTCCTCAATCCCATTTTTATTCGGTCTCTCTCTCTCTTTCTTCTTTCTGTCTCTTGTTTAATCTGGTTGTTTGTTTATTTGTTCATTTATCGAATAGCTCTTTCTCAATCCTATTTCATCGTCTCTCTCTTTTTCTCTGTCTGCTTGTTTATTTGTTTGTTTGTCTATTTGTTCTTTATCTGATAGTCTCTTTCTCAATCCTATTTTTATTCGGTCTCTCTCTTTTTCTTTTTGTCTGCTTGTTTATCTTTTGTTTGTCTATTTGTTATTTATCTAATAGCTCTTCCTCAATCCTATTTTTATTCGGTCTCTTCCTTTTCTTTCTGTCTGCTTGTTTACTGTTTGTTTTGTCTATTTGTTTATCTGTCTATCAGTCTGTTTCTCACTTTCTTTTCACGTCTCTCTCTCTTTCTTAATGCTTATCTATCTCCATCTCTCTACTATTTTTTTCTATCGATTTATCTATCTATTTATTTATCTTTCTCGCATCACTCTATGTCTCTCTCTGTCTGTCTGTCTGTCTCTCTCTCTCTCGTCATCTCTCTCTCTCTCTCTCTCTCTCTCTCTCTCTCTCTCTCTCTCTCTCTTCTCTCTCTCTCTTTATATATATATATATATATATATATATATATATATATATATATATATATATATATATATATATATATATCCATTTACCTATCTCCCATTCTCTTCTCTTTCTCTTCTTCCTATCTGTCCATTTATCTCTCTCTCTATCTATCTATCTATCTCCCTTTCTGCTCTTACTGATTAGCCTGGTTTTATGTCTCTCTTTAAATGTTTATCTACCTTTCTATATCGCTATTTACTAATTTGTCTTCCTTGGTATCAGTCTGTTTATCTTTATTTTTGTCTGTCTTTATTTCTTCATAGCCATCTATAACTATATCTATTCATATTTTTTAGTCATCTATTACAGAATTGTTCATGCTTTCATCTTTCAGATCTCTCACTCTACACCCTACGCATCTCTCCTTCCCTCCCTCCTTTCTCTCTCCCTTCTTCCCTCCTGACCTTCGTCTCGTCTTCCCTTCTTCCTTCTTTCCTTCCTTCCCTCTCTACCATGCTCCCTTATTCCTTTTTCTCTCCTTCCCCTTCCTTTTCTTTCTCTTTTTACCATCCTCCCCCCTCTCTCTTTTTCTCCCTCTTTCCCTCCTTCACCCTCTATCTCTCCCCTCCCTCCCTCCCTCCCTCCTCCCTCCTTCCTTCCCTTTCCCCCATCTCTCCCTCTACCCTCTATCCCTCTTCCCTCCACCCCCTTCTCCCTCCGTCCCTCCCACCCACCCTCTACTCCCCCTGTTTCTTCCTCCCCGATTTCTCTCTCCTCCCTCCTTCCCTTTCCCTCTCCCCCCTCCCTTCCTTCCTTCCCTTTCCCCCATCCCTCCCTCCACCCTCTATCCCTCCTTTCCATCCCTCCCTCTACTCCCCTGTTTCTCCCTCCTCCACATTCTCTCTCCTCCTCCGTCCCTTTCCCCTCCTTCCTTCCCTCCCTCCCCACCCCTCTATCCCTATCCCCTCCCTTCCTCACCCCTCTTCTCCTCCCTCCATCCTCCCACCCTCTACTCCCCCTGTTTTCTCCCTCCTCCCTCCCTCCTTCCTTCCTCCCTTTCCCCCATCCTCCCTCCACCCTCTAGTCTCTCCCTCCCATCTACTCCCCTATTTCTCCTCCTCCCTTCCTTCCCTCACCCTTCTCCTCCTCCCCTCCCTCCTCCTTCCCTCCTTTCCCTCCCTATTCTTCATTACAAAACCGTAGCGAAGGCCATAAAGACGGCCATCCTGTAGACACGAGAACCGAAGCCGTATCTAAGGCCCGGTAGTTAACCCTCTTCCCTTGCTGTTTATGCTTAATAAAGATCTTTACTGAGGACTCCGACGACGCATAAAAAAGAAGGTTTTTTGATTCTAAGATGTGGTGTGTGATTCCATTTTTTTGTTTGTTTGTTTATTGGTGTTTTTGTTTGTTCGTGTTGTTGTTAGTATCGTTTTTATTAACAATGTTACTAAAATTATTATTATCATTTCTGGATGATAATGAGACGATGATAGTAATTAGTATCATTATTGATACATCTTATTATTATAATCATTATTACTATTATCATTATTATCATTACTATTATCATAATTGTTGTTTGTTCTTATCATATTGTTTTTTTTTTATTGTTATCAAGATTGCCATTATTATCATTATTATTATTATATTGTTGTTATTATTATTGTTATTATTATTATTATTATTATTATTATACTATAATTATTGTATTATTATTATATTATTTATTAATTATCATCATTATTATCATTTTATTCCCATTATTATCACTTACTACTACTGTTACAAGTAGTATCATTATTATCATCATTACCATTATCTATCGTTATTATGCTTGTTATCGTTATTATTATCATTGATATTATCAATTTCATCATAATAGTAACATTATTAATATTGTCATCACCATTATCATCATCATTGCCACGTTTTGAATCGGAATACAGATTTACACTTCTATTTTAGGCTTTCTTTAGTCTGGCTGTTATCAAACAATATAAAAAAAACACTACCCCACCTTTATTCGACGTAAAATCTACAAAAAAAAGCCTTTTAATTCCCCCAAATCTAATCTGACCGACGCCCCTTCTCCTTGTAAACAAAACACAACAAAAAAAAATATTCCACTCGGAGCTCTAGTTAAATCAACGAACAATTGCAGGCCAACAAAGACAGCCAGAGTTCTATCGAGTCTTTTTCAAGTTAGAGA